GGGGGGGGGGGGGGGGCAGCTGAAGCTTTGCACTGAATCGTCATATTCCATGCTTAATATAATACATTTGCCCAAATTTTGAATTGCAACGTACAATCAACGTTTTTGACCACTTTTTTTAAGAAACATCGATCAAAAGTTAAATTTATTTGTTTCATGTACATTTAGTTATTGAACGGCACTTTTCTCAATTTTGCATTTTTTTCATCCTTGCAGTTTTTTCCAAATATTCTGCCTTTTATTGCCTACTAATTACTGTAAAAGTATAGGATAAGTGTACTTTTTACCTGTAGTTTTAGTTATTTTCACTTTTGTCGTATTGCTATTGTTGTTGACGCAGTTGTTATTACTATATGGTTATTGTGGTCGTTGTCGTCGTCGTCAACGTCGTTGGTGCAACAATTAATCTTTTCTAAATTATATTATACTACTGCATAAGTTCAAAATTCGTATATTACGAAATTCTTGATATTAACCGAACGCGAGGTCTGTACCGAGAAATGTCGAACCGAGGTCTTTTTTGTACAGACCGAGCCGGCAGGCGAGGGTTGTACAAAAAGACCGACGTCTGATATTTCTCTGAACATAGCGAGCAAGCGAGGTTAATAAGAAGTTTATTATATGGCATTCATAATCATTTATACTTGAAACAAACAAGCAATGGATGATTTGAAATGCATATTATTAGCGTGCTACACATTTGGTCGAAATAAAATCCCCATTTATTCCTTCTTTTCCGCTAAAAACCATTCGCAGATATCTTATTAATAACAAATTAAATTATAATTTGCATGTGTTTGTTTTTACGTAATGGATCGCCGGTGAATTACAGGAAAATAATGGACCGCTGAAAGTGTTTCTCAGCCATTCACAGTCCGCCATTTCACCGGAAGTGATGCTTCCATATAATAATAATCAATATTAAATCCTGTCCTAAGTACCTTATATTTATGCTTTTCTATTTCGACAGATATAAATGAATGTTTAGAAAATACACACGATTGTGATAAGAATGCCACTTGCACCAATGCGGAAGGATCCTTTAACTGTTCTTGCAAGAATGGATACAGAGGAAATGGTACATCATGTAAAGGTGAGTGTCTATTTTGATGTTACCCAGGCTTTTTCCTCTTGTGGAGGAAAAATCCTGACTGGTGCTGGTCAAGTGTCCTATATATAATTAATTGGCTATGAGGGTGAGAGGTAATTAATTGGCTATGGGGGGAGGGCAGCTGAAGGAAAACAATTTTGCACTGAATCGTCATATTCCATGCTTAATATAATACATTTGCCCAAATTTTGAATTGCAACGTACAATCAACGTTTTTGAACACTTTTTTTAAGAAACATCGATCAAAAGTTTATTTGTTTCATGTACATTTAGTTATTGAACGGCACTCTTCTCAATTTTACATTTTTTTCATCCTTGCATTTTTTCCCAAATATTCTGCCTTTTATTGCCTACTAATTACTGTAAAAGTATACGATAAGTGTACTTTTTACCTGTAGTTTTAGTTATTTTCACTTTTGTCGTATTGCTATTGTTGTTGACGCAGTTTTATTACTATGGTTATTGTGGTCGTTGTCGTCGTCGTCAACGTCGTTGGTGCAACAATTAATCCTTTCTAAATTATATTATACTACTGCATAAGTTCAAAAAGGTCTTTTTTGTACAGACCGAGTCGGCAGGGCGAGGGTTGTACAAAAAGACCGACGTCTGATATTTCTCTGAACATAGCGAGCAAGCGAGGTTAATAAGAAGTTTATCATACGGCATTCATAATCATTTATACTTGAAACAAACAAGCAATGGATGATTTGAAATGCATATTATTAGCGTGCTACACATTTGGTCGAAATAAAATCCCCATTTATTCCTTCCTTTCCGCTAAAAACCATTCGCAGATATCTTATTAATAACAAATTAAATTATAATTTGCATGTGTTTGTTTTTACGTAATGGATCGCCGGTCAATTACAGGAAAATAATGGACCGCTGAAAGTGTTTCTCAGCCATTCACAGTCCGCCATTTCACCGGAAGTGATGCTTCCATACAATAATAATCAATATTAAATCCTGTCCTAAGTACCTTATATTTATACTTTTCTATTTCGACAGGTATAAATGAATGTTTAGAAAATACACACGATTGTGATAAGAATGCCACTTGCACCAATGTGGAAGGATCATTTAACTGTTCTTGCAAGAATGGAGACACAGGAACAGAAGGAAGGATCCTGAAAGTGTTTCTCAGCCATTCACAGTCCGCCATTTCACCGGAAGTGATGCTTCCATGTAATAATAATCAATATTAAATCATGTCCTAAGTACCTTATATTTATGCTTTTCTATTTCGACAGATATAAATGAATGTTTAGAAAATAGACACGATTGTGATAAGAATGCCACTTGCACCAATGCGGAAGGATCCTTTAACTGTTCTTGCAAGAATGGATACAGAGGAAATGGTACATCGTGTAAAGGTGAGTGTCTGTTTTTATGTTTCCCAGGCTATTTCCTCTTCTAGACAAAACCCGGGGGTGGTCACGTGTTCCATAAAACAATATTGCTTTAGGGGGTGAGATATCATATTACATGCTCTCTATTCCGCACTTTACACTTCGATTGCAAGGATAAGTGTTCTGTACAAGTAAATCATCAACTTTGAGAATCATATATACTCTCAATTTCGACAGACAGAAATGAATGCTTAGAAAATTCCCACGATTGTGATGTAAATGCCATATGCACCAATACGGAAGGATCCTTTAACTGTTCTTGCAAGAATGGATACAGAGGAAATGGTACATCATGTAAAGGTGAGTGTATATTTTGATCCATAAAATAGGTTTTGTCCTTTTATTTGTTTCAACATATTTGAATCATTTTGCTTTTCCGTTACTCTTGTCTTGCGTTTGCTTCAATTTATTCTGACTAGGGTTTCCCCCTCTTAATTACTCTAAAAAGGTATTGAGAGCATAATTAATAAAAAACAATTTGTTAAATATTCAACAATTCGTCGCCAAAGGCGAGGTGATTATCGGGAAATATTCACTGAGACAAAGTCGAGGTTATTTTACTAACTGTTATTTTACGAAATGTTATTTTTACACAAGACTTTTGTGTTTGTTTGGGCTGAATTTATTTTATTTTCGCTTATTTCTTTATCCGTGATTTTCACAAAAGAGCTTGTCGCCATTTTGTAAACTAGTTTTTACTGTTTATTCAACAAAAGTATCATATTCCATGCTCTCCCACTTCCGTACTTTACACTTCAATTGCAATGAGTATATTATGTACAAATAAACGATAATTTGAGAATCATATATAATGCAAAATACTCGTTAAATTTGGTTCATAATGATAACATATCCTTTCGATTTTAATTAACAACAACAAAATTCCTAAAACAGGTTCATAATTAATACAAAATAATAATATAATATATTGTCAATAAACAGTCCAGTTTGTTACACCCACGTGGATTGCTCCACCAAAGAGTGATCAATAATTCCTTACATATTCTTCCTTCGTTGTAGTTCTTCTCTTTCGCCTGCCTTTCATCGTAGCCTTTCGTTTTCATTGTCGTTACCTCTAAATTCAACCTGCCCACGCTCTTCTTGATCCTCGCGTTTGACTTCAGTTGGATATAAATGCTTTATAACTCGTCGGAGCTGAGACGGTTTCTTGTCCGGGTTGGATACTTTGACCATTTCTGCTCGCACCTTTTCATCTCTCCCCTTTATTAATTCGTCCACTATCCCAAGCTTCCAAAAAAGTCTCGAGTCGTTCTTTACAATTAGTTGAGTCGTTCTTTACAATTACAACTTCTTCAACAGATATGGATGGTCCTCTGCTTTTTCGCTATGCACGCCGTGTTGCTCACGCAGTCCAGCCAAATATTCTTTCCTCCATTGGTTGGTAAACACTTGAAAAATGTTTTTCTGGTGCCGGGCCCTTTTCGTTAAGGGGAGTCTTGACTACGTCAAAATGCTCACTGTTCACGAATAACAAAATGCATAATCCATTCCTGTGTGGTGAAGCGGCGGATCTTCGGATACACTATCAGGTGGCAAATCTGGCAAGATTTCGGGTTGAAACGGCTGTCCTTGTAACTTCTGACACAACACACACTTTCTCATTACTTTCTTTATCGCCTCGCGCACCCCTGAAATCCAAAATCATTCTTTGATGGTGGACAATGTATTTCTTATCCCACTATACTTCACTCTTTCATGAACAGCGAGAATGACAAGCTGAACAAAATACTGTTTCGTTGGTAACAAAACAGGAGTCTTAGTCGATTGGGGAAGATCAGCGTGTGCAATACGACCCTATCATTTAAGAAGAGTCCTAGCTGAGGAACGAGTGACGGTGTACTCAAGATACTTAAGATTCAAGATTCAATAAATTATAGTCATCGAATCTGTCCAGTCAAATATTTCAACGTCTCGGAGTATGGCTTTCACAACAGTGTCAACAAGTCAGGCTAGCAAAACTGCTCCGAGCAGTTCTTGTCGAGATATGCATTGTATCTTGATTGGCGCTTTCTTGGTCTTTGAAGCTACGAAACGAACTTGTACTATACGACATTCGTTGACTGATCCCGGGTAAATGGCTGTACCCATTGCCTTTCCCGAGGCATTGCAAATGCATGCAATTCAATTGATATCGGTGTACAGTCCGACACGAAGTAGAACCTGGAAATTCGTTGTCGGTTAATATTTTGTAGGTATTGGCTTTCCATATCTCCATGAAGCTGTTCGTCCCAGTCGACTTACATGGGATTTGAAACGTCATTTTATCTTGATCGTGACCGGAAGAGGTAAACCGAGTGGGTCGAGTATCTTCGTGGTTAATTTCAGAAGGTATCGCTTGGTGACCGGTAGTGTCCTGGCATACAGATTCAGTTCGAATAGATTGTAGAAGAACTCGACACGCGTAGTGGTCCAATTAATTCCGAGCATCCTTTTGCTGTATGGACCAACATGATACTTGGCATATGTTTCGTCTTCTTCGATTGTTATTGGTTGGGAGTCGCCCCCCCCCCCCTGCCGTGATTGCTCTTCATTTTCGACGACACATTCTGCCCTTTGAATGTTCTACATGATTTCTTAAACCGTTTATTAAAATCAAATCATCTCGCTGCCTGGAGGCTGAATTTATACATGATTTTTACAATAATTATTTTAAAATATGTGTCCGTAAAATTAGTTCTCTCAAAGAAAGACAAAAATAATAAAGTAAAAATACTACAATAGAAAGGTAAAAAAAACTATAATTATAGGCTCTTGTTCTAAAAAACTTGATATAATATAAGTCTTTTTAACTGAATTTGTATTACACTTTGGAATAATTAAAAGTTTAAATTCCTTATTAAGTTGTAAATATTTGGATGCTTTGTAGGTAAAAGATGGTGAAATTTATGATGTTTGTCATTTACTATGGATTTGAAAACTTTAATACATGATCCTTTCCTTCCTTTCCTCAAGGTTTCCATTCATGTATAATTCTTCAACGGCTTCTGAATATGATAAATCCGGGGATATCTGATGCGCAATGCTCTTCTCTGAATCCTCTCTATTTGGTCTGAAAGATATTCAGGGAGACCGTAATGACTAATTAAATACAACGTTTGCAACGTTTGTATACATTAATATTTTTTCAATACTGAATTTATACTAAAACAATAGATGATTCCAGCTATAGACTAAATTTTGATGTAGGCAAGAAGAACAAAATTCATCACCACAGCTAGAAAGAGCATGCTACAAATAGTAAAATTGCAACGTTTTGTTGCGAAATGTTGTAAAATGCGGGAAATATAGCCCTACGCAATTTGCGAAGTGGGAAAATACACAACTTTCGGTCCAAATGTGGTGCATTTTCCCGTGCGTAATACAAATTAATACAAAATTTGAAAAATTCGCAGGACTATTTTTTCCGCATTTTACAACATTTCGCGGCCAAACTTTGCAATTTTACTAATTTTAACATGCCCTCTCTAGCTACGGCGATGGATTTTGTTCTTCTTGCCCAATATCAAAATTAGTCTATGAAGAAGAAGAAGATTAATTTTATTACCAATGACAAAAATAGAAAATATATATATATATATATATATATATATATATATATATATATATATATATAGGCCTATACATGAGTTATTATAGTTAATATATATGGTTAGGTAATAAGCTAACTAAAATAGTCTTAGAAGACTAGCCTAGTTAGTTAGCTATTGTATGATATTATGACATAAATAATCATAACAGACTGAAGAAAGTATAAATTATTATATAATGAAAAATAAAGGGGAAAAATATTTGTCGAGTTTGAATACCAATTGCATAAAACCAAATGGAGTTATATTAAATACTATTTTATATTAAAACTATTTAAATACTTTTCAAGAATTTTGCTAATCAAACATTTTTTAAATTTTATCTTTGATAAGTCCTTTATACTCTCATCAATTGAGTTCCAAATACTAGCACCGTTAAATCTGATATTAAATTTACCATAATTGGTCCGCACCCTATAGGTAATGAATAACTAGAACGAGAAGCAAGTCTTGTGTTATATTGGTGAATTTTGTTGACAGATGTGAAAAAGTCACTAAAATATTCAGGAATGTTATACCTGCATGAAAATCAAACATCGAATAAGTATTACCCCAAATGACAATGACATATAAAAAGTAAGGATAGACTAACGAATAGTACAGATTCGTAAGTACATTGATATTAACGTAATGACGTACTTTAGATATCGCACCAATAGTGCGCTTAATTTTCCTAGAAAGATGAGAAATGTGTTGTTTCCAGCTTAGGTTACTATCAAACAAAATTCCTAAATAACGAATTTTAGTTTCTTCTTTTAAATAACAATTATTTAGAGTCAATCTTACTGGGGATGACTTTTTCTTTTGAATTGTATGGAAGATAATAAAATTTGATTTATCAATATTAAGCGATAATTTATTTGCACAAAGCCAATCATTTATGTTTACTAAATGTTTGTTGATTTCCTTCTCAAGGGTGATTAAACTTTTATTAGCATAATAGGTTCGCATCATCCGCAAACAAATGAAAATCAAATAGTTTAGAGCAATTCTGGAAATCATTAATGTAAAGGAGAAAAAGTAAGGGACCTGGAACACTACCTTGAGGCAATCCGCAACTGATAGACTCCATCTCAGATTCAATACTACCAATAGATACAAATTGTTTTCTATATTTTAGGTAGGAAGTAAACCAATCTTTTGCAATACCTCTAATTCCATAGTGTTCAAGCATACACAATAGAATTTTGAGATTGACAGTGGTGTCAAAAGCTTTGCTGAAGTCTAGAAAGATTCCACAAGAGTAAACATTATCTTCAATAGCTTTTTGTATTTTGTCAGTAATGGATAAAATAGCCAGGGAATTGGAGTGCTTGGCACGAAATCCAAATTGTCTGTTGTACAATAAATTATTCTTATCAATGTAATTTATAAGTCTACGGTAAATCAATCTTTTTAGGATTCTATTAAAAACAGAAAGTATAAATGATATAGGTCGATAATTTGATAGATTCATATGTGATTCTTTTTTGTAGACAGCTAAAACCCTTGCAATTTTAAACCTGTCAGGAACTGTACTGTACCTGTCGAAATTGATAGATTATATAATATTTCTAAAGGAGTCAATTTCAAATATTTCAATCTTTTTAATATATGAACTGGAATACTGTAAGGTCCCACTGCTTTACTAGGATTTAAAGCATCTATTTCATTTTCTATTTCACTTTGTGTAATGGAATAAAGAAACAGACTATGTGGCTGGTTAGATGGCATGAAAGACAATGGTGATTTATCCACAGATGGAACTGAGCTAGCTAATTTCTCACCAATACCAATGAAAACTGTTATTAAAAGCATTTGCAATTGATGCAGTATCAGTCAATTCACAACAATCTTGAACAATCTTTGAGGGAGAACTACAGCTTGAGAGTTTAGAACTGATGATCTGTTTTATTCCTTTCCAGATATTTTTCATACTTCTCGTATTAGACCTAAAGTATTCACAATAATACTGTTTCTTGCTTATTTGTATTAGTCTTTTTAATTTGTTGCGATATATTTTAAATTTATTGTGAGTATAGCTTGTTCTAGTTGTTATATATCTTTTATACAATTTATTCTTGACATTAAGAGAGAAACGTATCGCGCTAGTTATCCAAGTTTTCGACATATGCTTTATTTTCTTTCTACTGATCAGTTTTAGTGGAATATGTTTGTTAATAATATTAGATAATTTAGAATAAAAAGAGCCAGAGATAGTATTAACATCATTAGTTTCAGGAAGTTCAACATGCCAGTTTATCATTTCAAGATCATTAATGAGCTTGCATTCATCAAAGTTGGAATAATCTCTCTTATACATTTTAAAGTGTTTAGGAAGTGTAGTAAATTTATTAATTATTAGGAAATTTGGTAGATAGTCAGTCAAATCATATATTAAATTACCACTAATTGTATAATGACTAATAGAGTTGAAAAATATGTTGTCAATTAATGTAGCAGAGTGATCATGCAGTTATCCGAGTAGACTGAAGAATAGGAGGAGTAAAAAAATAAGTGCCCAGTGTATTAGAAAATTCCTCAGTTGGTTGATGGGAATCTATATTTGATAAATTCATATTAAAATCACCCATAATAACACAGAGCTTGCTCTCTCGATTGATTTTATCAATGGTCCTATCAAGAAAGTTCATAAAGTTTTCGAAATTACTTTTGGGGTGTCTATATATATAACACCACATTGAAGATTTTGTTGCATATTACTATGAATCTCGATCCACAATGCTTCATAATCAACTGTTGAAACTGAGAGATCATCCCTCACGTTGAAACTCAATTGATTAGACACAAAGAACCCAGCTCCGCCTGCATTACTAAGGCTAGGCTGTGAAAGAAATGAATAACCTGGAATATCAGTAATGACACATTGTTCTTTTGTGTTTAGGATATTAGTTTCGGTTAAAGCGATTAAAGAAAATTTATAATTCAATTCGGATAATAATTCATTAAGACTATCAAAATTAGCACTAAGACTTTGGAAATTAGAATGCATGACAGAAAATTGGTGATTAAAAGTTGTTGAACAATTCCTTATTTCTGTACTATTATGGAACTCATCTGTCGTATAATATTTAAAATTTGATTGTATTGGGATGTTTAGGTCAGGGTCAAGATTAGCAAGACTAGAATTTAAAATTAATGAAGAAAGAATTTCAAATCGGGGCAGATTATCCAAGTTAAAGTCAATCATAGAGAATGAGCTTGGTTATTAATATACTTAATTACTTAATAATATAATTATTTAACAATTAGAGAACTTAGCTGTCACCATGATCATATAATTTTTCAATGTCACTCTCATCACGAACTGCTACAGCATAACTGTCAGCATCACGACGTAAGAATATCTTGCCAGATGAAGTCCATAAGAATTTATATTTCAAATCTCTTTTAGCTCGAAGGCATTGTTTAAATAATGCTTTATTCTTCTGAGTGAGGCTTTCTGCGATAAATATTTTCTGCCCAGAGGAACTTATTATACCGAGATCATTCGTGGTTTTGTTGCGGAGATTACTTCTTGCTTTATAGTAGGAATCTCTCACATCTCTTCTGACAAATTTGACGATAATAGCTGGATCATATTGATAAATAGTCGAAAAAGCCCTTGATTTGGGAAGGCGATGGCTTATTGATATATCCGAATCGCTCACATTAACACCAATCAGTTTGCCAACATTTTTGACGATGCATGGCATTAATGTTCTCATCATGTTGATCCCTTACTGGAATGCCACGAATCTCTAGACATTCACGCCTTGAGTAATGTTCCATGTCATTCAGATTATTGTTGACTGTAGACATCTCACGAGATAAATTCTTTAAGTCAGACTTCAGGATGGTATATATTGTCTTTCATCAAAACTTCTTTTTCGGATTCAAGTACATCTACTTTTGATAAAAGTTCATCATATTTCTTGCTTAAGAACTCCATTGACTGTTCAATTTTTCGCATGGTCATACTAACTCTCGACAGATTATCATTAAGAGGGGATAACTTCTGATCCAATAGCTTTCCCAGTATCTTTTCGATTGATTCTATAGCTGGAATAATCTAGTAGGATGTGAAGTACGAGACTTCAATTGGGATCCATTGTCAAACAAAATTCTAACAGGTACATAATTATTTGGAATTGCTTTCGTTGATGCAAAGGCTGTAGCAGTTTGTAGAAGAGCTTTTGCTACTCTTTCGCAATTCGCTGTGACAGTTTTCGTCACTTGCTCCGCTTGTGCTGCCTTTCCCTGGTTTGGGCACGACTCGTTGTCTGGGTTGGGCTTCGTGTAGCCTGCGTAGCAGTCGCTTTATGTTATTGAAGATTTTGAGGATTTTTTTTTACAAGTTTGCCATTGCAATAGATCTATATAGAGTACTATGGTTACAAATGACTGGAATTTCCATACAGAGGTAGTTCTCCAATAACGGGGTTCCAAAAAATAACAAGTAATGGTATATCTAATTATTATGAAATTAAAGCAAACATAACAATTAAACACAAATACAAGAAGACAAAGCAAACGTATTGACGAACAAAAACTAAATTTAGCAATATGTTCGAGTTGATAAGTTCATTAGTGGGCGAGTGGTGTGACATTTAATACACACTGACTTAAATGTTCTTGGATCTTCAGGGTCATAAATTTGTTGGGTTAATTATACGTACTATTTCATTAGATTACATTTAAATGTAGTTAAAGATGTGGTGGTATTTCTTATGAAGCCGGGAAGCGTGTTCCATACATTAGCAGCTCTGATGTAAAAGCTGTTTTGAAAAGAAACAGTTTTACTTTTGGTTACATGAAGTAGGATGCCGTTAGTTGAACTAGTACAGTATTCCTTGTTTGTCGTGTAGGGATCTTTATAGATATGTTATTGTCAGAGTTATTTATAAGGTATTTGTGAAGATACACCATATCTAAATACTCATGCCAGTAACATAGAGGGAGGATTCCGATGGTAGCCAATCGTTTTTTATGCGGGATAGATGTTTTGTACGGGAGCGAAAGAATATATTTTTATGCACGTCGCAGCAACCGTTCGATCGTTAGGATGTTGTTGACAATTTGGGGTGCCCACACTTGACTACTGTAAGCTAGCTGGCTTCGAACGATAGTCAAGTACAGTATCTTTCGAACTCTTTTATCGTGAATGCCCGACGCTGTTCTCTTGACAAAACCCAGCATTTTATTAGCTTTTGAGGATAAGTCCTGCACGTGCTGGTTCCACTTCAGATCTTTGGTAATACTTACGCCAAGATCTTTTACACAGGTTAAAGGTTTGACTGGGATGTCAACTAATGTGTACTGGTTGATAATAGGTTGGAGACAACGAGTAAATTGGAAGAACTCCGCACTTGGATTTATTTAAATCCATCCTCCAGTCTTGACACCAGTTCGTAATATTGTTAAGATCTGATTGTAGGATTTCTCTGTCTTGGGGGTTACGAACAGCGCGATGACATTTAGTATCATCAGCAAACATTGACACGGCAGTACTTTGGGAGACGCTATCGGGAAGATCGTTTACGTAGATTAGAAAGAGGATTGGTCCAAGAATTGATCCTTGGGGAACGCCGGATAGTACTGGAAGCGGCTGAGATGTAACACCATGTACGGTGACTCTTAGAAAACGCCCAGAAAGATAATTTTTAACCAACGAAGAAGATTACCTTTGATGCCAAAGTTATGGAGTTTCACAAGTAAAAGGTCATGACTTACTTTGTCAAATGCTTTCGCGAAGTCGAGGTAAATCGTGTCAACTTGGCATCTTTTTTCAAGCATTTTATGAATGTTGTGAAGAACATATAAAAGCTGGGAAGTAGTAGACTTGCCTTTTTGAAAACCATACTGTAACTCATTCAGTTTGCTGTAAATATGATCCATAAGTCTATTGTAGATGCACCGTTCAAATACCTTCGAGACTAACGACAGAAGTGAAATTGGTCTATAATTGACCATTTGCGTAATAGACTAAATTTTGATCTCAACAAAAATTTCATTACAGCTTGAAGGAGCATCACAAAATTAGTAATATTCCAAAGTTTCGTTGCAAAATGTTGTAGAATGCGGGTATGAGGGTATGAGGCTGTCAATTTCCCATTTGTAATCTAAAATGACTGAAAATTGCAAATTTCCCAAGGCTATATTTTCCGCATTTTACAACATTTTGCAACGAAACTTTGGAATATTACTAATTTTGTGATGCTCCTTCAAGCTGTGATGAAATTTTGGTCTAGACTTGTTTAGTTCAAAATTTAGTCTATTACCAAATGGTCAATTGGAAACTTCATGAAGTGGACTTTTCTTTGGGATTGGACAAACATTAGACAACTTCCATTCTGACGGAAGCTGACCAGACGATAAACTTTTGTTGAAAAGTTCACATAATAACGGAGCTATACTAGCCGCGCAGTTTTTTAGTAATACAGCTGGGGTATGTTGTCTGGACCAGTTGCTTTCTCTTCGTCAAGATTTCGAAGTGCATAACGAACTTCTCCTTCGGTTAGAGTAAGATCTGAGATGGTGGTTAGATCGATGATCTCATTTTCAAAATCAACAGAGAAGAGTTGGTTGTGAGTAAGGTTGGGAGATTGAAACACCGAGTAGAAGTAGCGATTTAGCATATCATCAATATCAACTGGGTTGTCAGCAGTCGAAGACGTTGAATCTTGAATGGACCATGACATTTAGCAGGGATGTTTGAGTGATTTGAGGTGGATTTAAATAGTGACCAGAACTTTTTGCTACTGGACTTTAATAAACAGGGAAGTTTTTAAAAATACTCCATACATTTAGCTTGTATTAACGTTTTGGCTGATCTTCGAAGTTCGCGGGACTTTTCCCAAAGTCTAGGAGATGCGTCGCGTTTAGCCCGTTTTCTGCACTTATCTTTCTTCGAGAGAATACGTTATACATTGTCAATCCATGGAGGAGAGTTGCTCCTTTTGAACGATTTTAATGGAATATATTCAGTAGCAACTCTGAGAAAGAGACCTTTCCATCGTTCCCAATCGGTGTTGACGTCAGTTGACTGGTTAGAAGGAAATGTAGTGTGATTGACTAGTGCATTTCGTAGACCGTCCCAATCAGCAAGTTTGATTTTTGAGATAAATGACGGGTTATTTTTTATTCAAGAATCCTCAAAACCTTCAATAAGATAAAGCGGCTGCTACGCAGGCTAGGCTTCGTGTTGTCACGCTGGCTAACACAGATTGATTGATTATGTTAACCACCAAACCAAGTTTGGTGAATTTCTTGCTTGATGCACAATAGTGGCTCTCGTTACAATACACACACTTTATATTGTCTGGTGCAACACTCTTCACTCCAGTCGTAAATGCTACTGCTGATGGATGTCGGTTCTTTCGTTACCCTCCGGACTCGTATCGTCGATGACTTTCATTGGTTTTCACTGCATTGCTCGCCTCTCGTTCCTCCACTTCGACGTTGATAATTTCAAGCAGTTCATTATTTTCCCGCTGCGCCTTAATATACTTGTTAGTTAATACAGCAATATCCTCATTGCTGTATTAAATAGCCGATTGAAAAGAATTTCAAAATATTGCCCAGATTATAATGTTTTCCTTAAATTTTGGTAGAGTACGCTTCGGCAAACGTGTTCGTGTATCAGAGCTCATCGTCAACAGTCGAATTACTAGTCACATTGTTAACTTTATAACAGTACCTTAACCTTGATCCCCCACATCTTGTTGCAACGAACTCTTGTGTTATATAAATAGGAATTTTTAAGAACAAATACTTTCCCGATTTCTTGTTGCAAATTAAATTTTTATCAGAAAATATGGAGAAGGCACAGCCAGGTTGAGACATCATAAATTTGGTAAACACGTTCTCTGACTGATTATCATTTATTAAACGAGCTTTTTATAACCTTACTATGGTCTTCAACAGGTAGAAATGAGGAAACAAAAAAAATTTTTATCGCCCGAAACTAAAACACATAAGTTGCGCTTTTCCAAACTCGACAAACGCATTCCTCTACCACCCTACCCATATATAAATTTCATTTTACAACGCAAAATCTGCGTATCAGTGACCAGCCCCAGCTAGTCTTAACTTACCTTTACCTTACCTATATTTAAATAGTGCCAAACTTATCTGTGACGCCACTCAATCCAACAGCTATCGAAAACAGCTCTATTACTTTTTCTTGTTACTGTGAGTGTTCAATCCGACCATATTGGTTCAAAAATAGTCAGTCAATACACTACGATGGACCTGGATCTCCATACAAATTGTTGGCAAATGGAAATTTACACGTCAATGTTTCCAGATATACAGCCGGAAACTATAGCTGCGAAATAAGAACATATTCTTTGAGTGTGAGATCAAAGCAAGTTACGCTACAAGTATGGCGTAAGTATATATATGTTATAAAATATGAAATTCATGCTACATATCAATTGCGTAATGCTATGGAATTGATTACCGTTGGTTTCAATGCCGTAGCATGTCTAGGATACAAGCAATCGGAAATTCTAGCGCTCAGACAACACAGACCGCGTTGAAATTAGCAAAAA